GTACAGTGTTATTATGATTTAAATGACTATGAATTGTGTTTGATTGAAATTGTATTTACTTCATCTAACATGTTAATGTAATACCTCATATCTAACATCACACAAACTATAATTCTAACACTAAACATTATTACACGTACTATAATTTCCTGACTAGGGGTGCACTTCTGGCTTAAATCCCTAACACTATCGTCATAAATACACATACAAAACAGACTTAATATCGCAAATGTGTAATATGTGCTCTCATGCAGCTTGTATACATGAATATTTTTCGTTTGCATTCACAGCACTAGTGATTCGAATAGTTCCAATTCTGACAGACTACCGACTCATTTACTGAACCAGCCCCATGCTGTTCCTGCAGAGGTACACTGACATCAGATCTACTCTCCAAAACGGCTTTCTTGTAACTAGAAGGCCAACAATCCAAATCCTGATCACTTTGTAAAACACTGTTTTTAAATGACGTCTTCTCTCATATCGGTTTACCTTCTCCTCCTCCCTCCTCCGCAGCAAACTCCAGGAAGAAAAAAAAAGAAATGCTTGAGGAGTTGCAAAGAGAGGAACAAGCTACGCCCAGAGAGAGTCCAAAACGCTGCGCAGCCGAAGGTCCGGCAGAGCGGCACAAAACAAATCAGAGCACGACACGGCTTTCCTGTTTAATGACTGGAGACAAGACTAATTAGTGAACAGTCTCTGCAGGAGTCCAAGCTGCCCCGAGAGGACGCAGTAAAAGAGATCGCCCAAGAGAGGCCCGTAGGACGACACGGGAGGAAAGGGCAGGTACGAACAGCGGGAGGGAACGAGTTCAGGAGAGAGCGCCGGGCCACAGAGGGAGGGCAGAAGATTTGACTCGTCTCTTTTGGTATTTCCTCCTTTGTGAAGGCAAATGGCGCGATGGGAAAAGCGCTGATCCCTCCCTCCCAACACTCGCTCCGGGGAGGTCAGTCAGGTGACTTTGTGGCAGGGCAGCGAGCCGGTCAAGGTAAAGACCCAGGTTAATCTGCCATTTTGACTTTGACTCTCTGCTATTTCCAATGGGCTTTATTCTGCGTTGTAGGAAGACGGAGAAATGAAAGCTGCGTACAGGGCGGCAGCATGTCCACATCTCCACACGTCGGGTAACATTCATTTAGGAGGCTCAGCCTTTCTCACACCCTCAGTGTCCTAATCCACAACTACTTTAAAAATTGTTTTTTCCAGGTAGTTTATGGTGAATATTTCCTGTTGACTTCCACACGTGACGGCACTTAGTCATGAATCATCGGTGCAGTAGGAAATGTCCCGTCGAGCAGTGAACATGGTGCGTGGCTTGCGTTCTCAGGCGACCCGGGGATGTGCGCGGGACAGTGGAGGTGTTCCTCCCAGCTGCTGCACGTGAGTGCTCTCCTTCCACCGTCGCCCCAATTCTGTGCATTGTAACGAGCCAAATCACAGCTGCACCCGGCGATCCTTCGCCTCCTACGAAGACTACAGAGGTTTGTCCAAAATGTATTGTTAATTTAAGCATGCAACAAATTGTACATCTTTTCCAGTAAAACTCTTCTTTCTCTTTCAGGGCGGCCACCTTCCCTTACGGCGCCACACAGGCAAGACACGGAGACTTTGTGTCCTCAACAAGAGACGTTTACCACATGTTGAGGCACATTCAGATTTTTAAAGTTATGTTATGTTCTTCTTTGTCAGGCCTCCGTCATCTACGTACGCCAAGATGATTACGACCGTTGTCCCAAAGCGTTTGCTGTCCAGTTTCACCGCTGTCTCTTCTGCGGGTTTGTCATTGTTGACATGTTGCCACCTCGGGGAGCAGAACCACAGGGATCTCGCTCTTGTCGCCCTCCAGAGAGAAACCAGAGCACATAAAAATGTGTTTGTGCCCCTGGGGGGCACAGACCTGAGAGGGAGAAGGTACCTACCCTAGAAACCCTCTTGTGTACTCTCTCTTTGTCTGTCTTGATCCCTCTCTGTCAAATGCTCAAGTTTCTATTGCGGTACAAATACTGGGAAATACACCTTGATCTCTGTGCAACGCCTAGAAGAAAAGCATATTGCCTTTTAACCAATGTTTACAGTGTTTGAAATATTTCCTGTGCTTCTTTTTTTCAATTTCCTCAGACTATGCAAAGACACCTCGGAGGGCAAAAGGCAGCCGAGTGTTTTGTCCCCAGTGTCGAGGCCCTCAGGCCTCATGAAGATGGAGCCTGCGCATCCACAGAGGGACACCGATGGGAGGCTCCAGGTTGAGAACATCAGGCAGTATTACCCCGGAAGAGAAAGCCAAATAACTACTGCAGCGACCACAAGATCCTCACAGACTGCTCTGCTGTGGAAGACAATATTCGGAAGCTGGCAAGGACAGATTAAGATTATTCTGATCAGGTATGTGAAGGTCCTCTGATGGATGGAAGAATGTGATTTGTTGTGTGTGTTTCTTAGATACTGTTTATTGCAATGCTACAGAAAAAGTTTTACAATAAAATATATAAAAAGATATGTCCACAACTTTTTTCATTAATACTCATTCGTGCACAGTGAATGTAAAATGTTCTACATGTAATACTAAAAGGTTACACATCATTTTTTCGTCATCAGCCTCCGAGTGGGAGGTACAAAGGGGGGATGTGTGTGTCGCAGTGAAGAAGAACTCAGTCAAACTGTCGGAGATGAAAATGTCTTCCTGTGTGTCGGACCATGTCCCGGAGCGTCACAAAACCAGAGAGGGCCTGAACATTCCAGAAGAAAAACATTCAATAAAAACAGCCAAAAGAAGTATATGACAATCACCAAACAATAAATAACGTACATTTACTTGCATGCAGTTTGGAAATGGATGACTTACATCTATTCTGTCTTTAAAAAGGAAGTTGACATTACCTGTGCGAGTATAAATATGGCGAGTACTATGTGAACACCTCTCTCCAGGGGTTGCATAAGAATGGCTTCATTGAAGAGCTGAAACAGGATTAGTGGAAACTGCAGCAGGATGCTGAGCAGCCAAAATCCAGCCAGCTCTGGGACCTAAACACAAACACAGGTATGACAGGAGTTATAATCTCTATTTCGACTGTATCTATGTTCCTGTAAGGGATGCATTACCTGTTCTTGCAGGTTCCCAGAATAACCGAGGAAGAGTCTAATGGCCTCTATCAGAGTCATCAGGATGAGAACGGTGACCAGGATGAACTTGTAGTAGTCGGGCAAGGCAGGATACTGGTAGAAATGACAATTACATGAATTCAGTTAAACAAACCGAGCAACAATTAACTTAAATGTATTCAAATGCAGGTCACTTTGTTACTCTTAGCGATAATTCATTCATTATTGAAAGCATTCACCATCACAGTCTCTAACTTTCCGTGTGCATGGCTCACCTTGAGGTGCAGCATTACAGCTTCGCTGATCCACCACAAGGGGAAGAACCACATGTTAAAGTACAGAGACATCTGGAGGTGGAGACTCGACAGAAGCCGCTTGTCTGTAAAACAAAGCAACACCAGAAGCAGCATCGGCTGTTAAAACGACGCTACCTCAACCGCAGCTCAACACAAACGTTCATATCGATGGTTAACTACGTCATCCTCGGCGCTGATAACGCAAGTACGGTCCACTCGTAGTTTACCGTGGGGCAAAAACGTGTCATTTTCTCTTGCGACGGTCCGAGTCCCGCTCTGGTCGAATAACACGTTCCGAGAAAAGTCCTCTAAGCGCTTTCTGATGCCATCCGGTAGGTCCATCGTGTCCGCCGCTCTGTGGGGAACACAAACATCACCAGAGACAAAAACGCGACGCCTCTTCCGCACTGCGGACGCTGCACGCCGACGTTGTCTCCTAGGATACCAACGAAATCTCGCACTTCACGGAAATCTCGCAGGAATCTCGCGAGAGTTCTCTCGTTTTATAGAGTAGCTGTTTCATTTCCTTAAACGTTTGTATAAGTGTGTTCCATCACGTTATGAAAGGAAAGCTTTGAATTTGCACGTTAACTAATAATGCCAGTAAGAATATTAAAGCAAACCAGTAAATATCACGTCTTACCGTCTTTAACACCATACGATGCCCTTTACACTTCGGAAACTTGGCTTCAGCGAGAGCGTCACCAGCCTCCGATGAGCTCGCGGCACGCGGACTCGGACGTGCATCCGATTTTTTTTTTTTGTTGACCAGCGTCGATGCGGATCGATACCTGGACGAAGCAAGTCGAAGTTCTCCGGCACAGAAGGCCGCGTTGCGTTGACAGGGCTTCCCTGGACGGCGAGGGACATAATGCGGATAGTTTGTCTTCGTCTCTGCGTGTAGGAAGTCCCGCCAGAAGGTGAGCGATTGACCGTTACCCGCTCACCCCGGAGCCACCGGACCGGGGGGGACACTGTACCTGTCCCCTGAACACCTCCTTTTTGTGTGTGTGTGCTTTTTGTTTACCGTCTGTAACGGCTTCTCCCGCGTGGCCACCGCTGGTTATCGTCAACGTTACATCGCGTCTCCCGCGCGTAACGTCGTTTGTGTCTCTCGTTTCAGCGGAACCGAAATGTTTTTACTGTAAGCGCACAAATGCACGCGCTGCCTCGTCAACCTTTAAGTGGCGCGAGCAGGGACCGAGCGCTCCGCTTCGGGGGTCACATGTTTTTAAATAACTCTTCGCGTTCTCTACTGAATTTATAAAATGGCTTATATAAACTCTAGATGGTAAATGTGTCCCCGGTAGAATATGCGCTTTGCTGTCCTCGGTCAACCGCTCTGACAGTGCGCGTGCGTGTGTGGGGGCGCGCGCGGGTGTGTGTTTATGCCTTCGTATGAAATCATTGACACTCCGTCCTGACATCCTCCACTTCCGCATTTTGACTAATGGTGATAAGTGTCGGAATCAGGAACTGTGCTCGCGAATCGAGATGAACGCGGTTCCCCCCGTCGCAGCGAGCAGGATTTAACCCAACAGCGTCCAACCAGTTCGATACTGGTCTGTATGTGTCAATTCTTGCCACGCGGGGTTCATTCGAAAGCTTTAAACGGGGCGTTTCTATGGCTCGTGCAATGAGTTCGGGGTTACAGAAGAACTGAGGGAAAGATCTCCAGCAGGATTTATCGGTCATTCTCTACCAGATCTCTGGTGGTCATTGTACTTCGCCATCCCCGCCCCCCACACAAACACACCGCCTCTTGTGTTTTTGTTTTCAGTGTAAAGGTAATGTAACCGATGTGCTCCAATTCCCCACATTTAGACATGCAATGTCAATAATCTGTGAGCTTCGTCCTTGTGTTTGAGAAAGACGTTGAAGGAGACATGATTATATATCATCAATCAGTCCACCGTCGTTTGCCTCTGAAAAAGATTCCTACAGTGATGAGTAATATTTTTTTTCTTCATTGGACATGCACGCGCCTGCGAGCATGCAGACCACAAAGTGCTTTTGTGTTTTATCTACTGTTGCTATGTTCAGCCCGTATTGTGTGACACTCTTCTCGAGATTTGAGGAGAAAAGGTGACAGCATTGTTGCTGTAGGGTTGTGTGATGCATGAGCGAGGGCCCTCGCACACACCCGCCCCTTCAACAGTTATTTCCTCTTCCTTTGTGCTTGCCGTTAAATGGCTTAATTTTTCACCCATCATAATTTTTAATGTGATGCCACGTTTCAAATACCACCTTTCAAAAATTGAGTTTCCATATGCAGATGTGTTCCCCAATTTTGGATTTGTGCTTTTTTGTCAATCAGTCTATTTATAGTGACAATTTTGTATTTCTTTCTCATTAAATCAAAGAGAAGCCTGAAACGTCAACGTTTGGTGTTTGAACAGCCACATCTAGCTGGACAGTTTGACCTTTTATACAATGGATGTTTTAAAAGTTCCTTTTGTAGGAAGCTTTCTGGGACTTTAATGTGCCCTTGAACAATGATCTGCCTGCGCAGTCCAATGCCAACAGGATGTGAGCCACGTGTGAGGCAGAGCATGTGAGCCCTTATTTAGTTGTTATGCCTGTGAAAGAGTCTCTGTCAACAGAATTAGTCTTTTCTTATTACTGATTTGGTGAAAAAGTCATTTCTCATACTGTAAACCCCCACTTAGGGCACCGCATGATGCATCATTGGCATACAGTATATTTCTATGGATGAAAGTGTTGCAGTAGTATTGCATATGTTCTGGTTCTGTTTGGTGAATAAAAGCACTGATGAGAGACATCAATTAAATGTAATTCAATAGCTTTTATTATTATAAGATACTGAAGCCTTTTGATTACCATTGCTGAGACAGAGAGGCTTTAGCTCTGTTGTGTGAGTCGTGAAATGTCTTTTCACGGTTTCGGTGCGTTCGTTCTGTCTCGAAACGTCTTGAAAGTACGACATTTACATAGCGCGTCATATTTGGGTCAGGGTCATAAGGTCCGCTGGGATATCACAGCACACTGTGGGTGATAATCAGCGGTACACAGGGACAGGGTGTCACATTCACACCTACATGCTGTTATCTGTTCCAATTTGATAAACCTCTGTGTGTTTGGGAACCATCAGGTCATGGTTCATTTGATTTGGGCTGTAGACGGAGTCTCTGCCAGGGGCCGGTGCACAATTTGTATTACATGAAATGTCTGTTAAGTAGCGTAATCTATTCCCGACTCTATCATTAGTAATGTTGAGGTCACATGACTGTTGAGACTACAGATGGTCACTCAGGCTGAAAACGGATGCCCACTGAGGAGATGAGTGATAGCTGTGTGGCCCACGTAGTGGTTTGTCTTTTGCCATTTGTGTAAAGGTTAAATTAAGCAGATCGGGAATTTCCCCTCTATAGACAAGTTTCTTATTGTCACTTCCGGTTTACTTCCTGTTTCTGCCAAGAACCGGCGCAGGCTGAGTAGTAGTGTAAAACGGGCTTTGGAATGGCAACATTCGACCGAAAATCTTGTTAAAAATGGTGTTTTGACCATTCCGCATCCAAGTAAGGTAACATCATGGGCGGACAACATGTCGATATGGCCCAGCAGCACAACATCCAAGATCTTTTCTTATTTTATTGATTCCATGGCGGTGGATGGGAATGCCTTAATAACCTGAAAAGCTCAGAGGCGTTTCAGTACCTCCATTCCGACAAAGTGGACTGTGTACTTTTACACGATATGGGCAGTTTAATTTACCTAAAGGCCGATGTTCAACCAAGCCAGTCCGTTAACAATTCAGCGCATAACGCCTGGGTTTTGGTTACCAAGACGGAAGATGTGGAGACTGCAGGCTGTACCTGTAGCCATGCAGCCGCCGTGCTTTGGAAGGTACGTTAGCCCATCTTATGCTTGTATTAAGAGGTTTGTATGTATCCGTGTGTTAATATATAACAGAACACGAAGAGTAATAAAAAGAAAAAGTAATCCCCTCTAGCCTGCCTGCACTAAAAGCATGCTTTAACCCTTCAAAGTCGACTGACGAGCGTCAAAGTGCCCACCCCTGACATATCTGTTAATAGCTTCGGAATGGATAAAGGTATTAACTTACTTTTTTTTTCTATGAAAAAGCTGACATTCGTCTGCGTAATAATTAGTAGACTGTGTTGACTTTGAATGATAAGCCTTCTGTATTTGAGTGCAAATCTATAGCATTTTACTCACTTGTAGATGGTAGATGGTCGAAACATTCTCCTTCTGACCAAACATTCAGCAATCGCCACGAGTTGTTGCAACCGTGAACAGCACAATATGTCCCGGAGCCGTGTCGGCATGTAACACATCCATAGTTTACTTTTTCTGCACGCTAACCAAAGACCGTGAAAGACGCTAACTCGCTAACCGGAAGTGCTTTGCAGACACAACCGGTTGTTGGCAGAGTGAAAGGCCAATGGCGGCCCGCCTATTTCACTCAGGAAACTTGTCTATAATCTCTTTGCTTTGTCTTTTTTTTTAGATGTATTTTCCCTCCAAATACTTAACCTCCTTCTGTTGATTCCCAGTGAAATTACTTTTTAGGTTCCTCTCACGTGGACCGTAGTCCTCTGGTTCTGTGCCTGTGAACATACTTTGAAGATTAGAATATCATAACCAATGGAATGTGTACCTCTGTGAACCCGGCATCATTTCTCTGAGCTTCTGACAAGAAATCAACAGTTGTTGACCTTTCTGAGTTATTGACTCACTCAGTTTGTGAATGCATTGAACCCGAGCTGGGATGTGGTACGTTTCCTCAGATCTCATGTTGTCTGGAGCTTTGCATCTTGTGGCTGAGGATTGCATCGCAATTGGGTTGTTGACGTTTTGTAAGGGTATTTTTGAAAATGGCCCAACCCCCTTTGGAGGGGGAGAAGACTTATCAAATAACCACCTTAATAATAAGTTATATTTGATGGCACATATTACATCACACAAATTATTCAATAGACCATATGGTTGCAGAGATATAGTCCTGCAAATTTGAGCAGAGGCCTAAAAAATGGGCTGGTTATTAACAGGTTATGGAACAAGCTGGATTTAAAGAAACAACATGTCAGTAAATGAAAGGCTTCGTAATACTCCTAGATAAATGCAAAGCACCAGTTACTTTTTAACCTAAATAAGAGTTTTCCACATATGGTATTATGAATCCTTTGCTTTCCCAGCTGGGTCATGCGGTTTAGTGTTTATGAACACTGTTTGCTTGACATTCCTGTCAACGAAAAGGCAGAGCGACAGCAGTAATACAGGACAGGGATGCCCCTTAGGGATGAAGACAGCTATTCTCAGGCATGTGCCCCCCCCCCCCGCAGTCCCTGTGCTCTGGATGTTTCATCCACGGGTCATACTTTCTCTGTGTCGTTGCTATTTTTTTTAATGTGTAAACTCAAATCCTGCAGACAAAAAAAACACGCAGGGAGACAAGAAACGGGAATTTCTTGTTAAGCATACTTAGAGGCCGGTCATCAACTTTTCCCAGCTGTTTTCTCTCCCTGATTTGGTGTCATTCCCCAAGACCATGACCCCAAGTCAATATTCTTCCTTATACGGCTTCTGTGGTCGTTTCAACGCAGTCCAGAGTGGATTAGGTTAGCACACTGTTGGCCAGGCTTTACTGTGAGTCAATCACGAAGGGGAAACAATTGTCCATTGTCCATGCACCATCACGCCTGCCTGCTGGCATGGACTTTTTAACATTGTGAGTCTTCTATTGTCAGGAATTATCAGTGCTGTAGTGGTAAAATTAGAGGTGGGTAAACTCTGAATTTTGTGATCATACAGACCTCGACGCGATGCGAAGCAACGCAACACAAAGCGTTGCGACTCTGTAAGGCTGTCCTGGCTATATTGCATTATGTTATCAGTAAAAGTCATATACAATCAATGACAATGAATAAATGTGTTAGTAGTTTGTAGTTTATTAAATTTAAGAAAACAGTAAAGAAAAGTATGTCAACACAACAAGACAATTGCAGATTAAGAACTATCTACATACGGAGTCTCCTTTTTACAGTAGTGCCGAGAGGGCCTCCTTGTCCTCCACGTCAGGTCCTGCCTTGCACAGAGGAGCCATGAACCCCAGAACACGCGTTATGGGCTTCTCCTCTCTCTATTGGACCTGGTGTTTCTCCTCTCCCTGTGCTCTCTGCATCATTGCCTGTCCTATCACTGCCTGAAAAAATAATTTGAATTTAAGAGTTAACCAGTTAAGCAGGCTGTCAATTACACTGACAACATAAGTTAAAGGAACACTCATGTACTACCTATGTCATCATAAATAGCCTACAGCATGTTTTGTTTTCACATTGAGAACTGACTTGTTTTCTAACGCTTACAGGCTACTCTACACCTTTCATGACTTAAAATAATTGATTAAGCATATAGGCCTATTCAGTGAAGCAACAGCTTTGCTCCCCGCTCATGATGACAGGGGAGGCAGAGCCTTTGAACATTGACTGGATTTTCTCCTAATTATGTGCGCGCGTCACTGCCGTTTTTCTTGTCCTTTTACCGTGCACGCCCAGCGAACACAGAGCGCGCGACTACTACCCCCCCCCCCCCCCCCCCCCCCCCCCCACCCCGTCGGTCGTTCCGCCCGCAACGACTACTACCCCCCCCCTCCCCTCTTCCCCCCCGTCGGACCTTCTCGACCGGTCCGCGAAATATTGTCTGACATGAAACCGGTCCATGAGGTAAGAAAGGTTGGGGACCACTGGGCTGATCCACAGCGTGTATGTTTACACACCTCCTGGATCCTGATTGGTGTCGCTGC